AGCTAAGACGAGCAAATTTACAAGGTTTGAGCATCAGTTGCGAGGCCCGAGAGACCCAGGAAGAGCTTATCATGGATTTGATAAATCTTGTGGAAGTTAGTGCTGATGGTCTGCAGTTGGACGCCGAGCCGCCGGTCGCTAGCGATCGCGAAGCAGTTCTTCCCCACCATCGCCACCACAGCGCTACCATTATACTCGAATATCTGTGAAAATACTTCACGCGATTCAATTTCCAACAAAAACCCCAGAATAGATTGCGAACAAAAAACAAGGGTTTAACATACAAATGCAGATAAAGGAATTGCAAATTCGATTGAAAAACTTACCGACATCGTGATGAATTGGATTAGGGTTTCGAGTGCACAAAGTAATCGAGATGCAAATTTGTAATAGCTCTGTGAGGGTTTTGATGGTGCGAGTGTTTGCAGAGATCGATTTTAGTGAATTAGCTTGCTTGAGGGGACAAGTCGAGGTAATTGAACCGGGTCGGGTTTGCAGAGAATATCATGGGCCTCTACTGTTGGGCTTTAGGTGGAGTTTGAGAGATAAGTAGCCTTCTGAATGATTGGCCTGTTAGTTGACCTACTCATACAGTGAAATTTATCCTCATTTTCTCTTCATTTTTTTTTTCCATAAGATTAGGGAAGGTGCACAATTTAAAGGCTATATATCCAAGTTTATAATTATATACATAAATAAAAAAAAAATGTACGGGATATATATAGTACGTGACCCACGAGATATATTTATTTGGAGAATATTATCTTATAAGATGCAATATTCAATAAAAGTTTATAATACGCAAGAAAATTGTACAATGTTCAATAAAAGTTTTATATTATTCAAGTGGAGTCTTAAAGTCTCTTGTACATTAAGACTACTGACAAAATAATATTTTAATCAATGAGTTTCCTTGCCTTGTAGCCAAATTGTGAATGTGATTTGAGGAGTATAATAAATCAATATATATCTGACTTGCTTTTTTCATTGTATTTTTTTTCTTTTTTTTTTATAATGAATTTAAAGATATTCTAAAATATAGCAAAAATTAATTTTTTTTATTACAATTAGGAATTTTACTAAATATAAACGCTCAATCTATGGTGTTAATCAACGTTTAAGTCTAAAAAATTAGGAATTTTTACCTCTTTTAATCAACGTTTAAGTCTAAAAAACAATAGAGTTATTATAAGTTTTTTTCTACATCTTTTAAAACATTAAATATGAGCATGTTAGGGCTAGCTTGTAAAATAATTAATATATTATCTCACTAAAATATTTATACTAATAAAAATTAATTTTAACATATAAATTTATCCCTTGATATAAGAGAAAGTAACAGTTTTACTTATTGTTGTTCATCATATAATATTTAATTATTATTTTATTATATAATAAAAAAAATATTGTTAAATAGTGTAGTAGAATTGTTATAAAATTATATGATTTTTTTTTACAATATGGATTTAATATGTTTTTATGTTTTAATAATATAAACAAATCTATACTTAACTTTGACAAATAAAACAAATAAATACTTTAGTAAGTATTTAATGTATATACTAAATAGGAATATATTTGGTATAATCAAATACCAAATATAATCAAATAAGTCAAAGTGTACATTTTTATTTGGTATTTGATTTTTTTATTATTAAAATTTTTTTATTATACTTATCTTTTTAAAATAAAACAAATAAATAAATCAATTAAATAAATAAAATATTATAATACCAAAATAGTAATGGCATTTAATGCAGTTGACTTTTCTTGATAGTAAATGTAGTAAATAGAATCTCCTTTTATATAAGTATATATTGTATAATACGAAAATAGTAATGCAATAAATGTTGTTGACTTTTTTTTATACTAAATTTGGTAAATGGTATACCTTTTAATATAAGTATAGATGAAGAAAGGCTATTAATTTTTTTTCCCAAAAAAAGGGCCGCTTTTCCCGTGAGTTTTCCGTCATTATTAAAAAATTAAAAAAAAGATTACCATTAAAGGAAATTAATTATCAAAGAGTTAACCTGCCATTTTTGAAAAATGGTAAATCTTATTATATATATATAGATGTATTGACAGTGTTTTAAAAGACATCACATATACAATTTTTAATAATTTTTAATTTTATAAATAGAGAAAATTATGAATTAATACATGACTCGGTTATATTATTTTACAAAAGTATTATACATATTTGTGAACAAAATGTGATTTTTTTGTTAATTCGTCCATGTATTGATGTACATCCGAGCTTTACCACTTATAAATTACATATTTTTCATATTTATTTTGTTTGTGTTTATTTAACTCTCATTAATGTGATTTGATTTTCTTGTTCGTCCTTTTTGTTGATATCGAACTTAAAAAGTCAATACAAAAAGACATGATTTAAAATAGAGACGATGAAAACTATATTTAAATTGAACAAGTTGGTATTTTATCCTCCTAATCGACCTCACTTCGGCAACAAAATCGAAAAGAGGTCGAGCATGGCATATGGACTTCTTTGAAGAAGTTGTGAATATTGTTTTCAATGTTCCATTAATAGGGTTAAATGGTCCATTTGTAAAACATTTGAACTAAAATTATTCATTTTATAATCGAACTCATATTATCCGGATTAAAATACACAAATTTACCAAAAAAATAAATCTATGTTAATTTCGTTGCTATAACATCATGACATAAAATACAATGAATAATATTTTTTTTTTGTAATTTTGAAGAATTACAATAAACTAGTTATCTGAAGAATAAATTATTATTATTATTATTATTATTATTATTATTATTATTATTATTATTATTATTATTATTATTATTATAGCAGTTGATTATGTAGTTTTCAAGGGGTTGACTATGTCATAACAACATATTATATAATATTAAAGAAAAATCAGTTAATTAGATAAAAAATATTAATTATAGAATAAGTAGTTTAAAGGAAAATATTTTACAATAGATTTGTTACAGCTTTATAACTTCTTTAAACAACTTGTTGTGAATTTGTAATTAGTTAGTTTAAGTACTAACTATTATAATGGAGTTAAAATAAATATTGTATTTAATTAATATAAAATGTAATGGTTTGTTTCAATAATTAAATGAAAAAAATGAGTGATATATATTTATTTATTTTTTTATTAATGATATAGTCCACTTTTATATAGATGCATATAATTGGTATTTAATTATGTTAACTATTCTTATGCAATTATCAAAATTCAATACTTTGTATTGATTAGCTGTTATCCCCTTAATATAATTTTAAAATATGTTGAGCCTAAATGGTTGGCTTGCACGCTTCGGAAGCTTACTTTGCAACATTACATGCTTCGGTTTTTGGTTCGGATAAAAATTAATACAATTATATTCCAAAATAAATAGGATTCTCCAACCCAAAATAAATAGGATTCTTACCTCCTCCAACTTTATATGCCGTGAATTACAACAATTACACGGATTAAGAATCATATACCAATCAAATTGTAAGAATCCTATATAAATATTGCTTAATCCGATCTCCTCTAAAATTATATTTATTATTAAATTAAATGAATAAAGTGTAGTTGTTCTCTACATTAATTAAATCATCATCGCGACAAAAATTACACGGGTTAAGAATCCTATTATGCCGTGTATTCTGATTCTTACTTTTGCTTAATCCGAAATCGGTGTGACAAAGTTCTCTACATTATTTAATCACCATCCCCCTTAATTCTCATTCCCCCTTCATCTCAGTTATTCATCTTACAAAAATTGAATTTACCATGACAATTGTTTTCAACACAATTGAAGAAATAACATCGGCTAAAGGAACATAAAATACGCGTCCGTTGTGATCGTGTATGGTTCAAACATGACAGGAACCAACCTGAAAATCTCGAGTATACTAATAAAACTTTGATTTCATTTGGAAGCTCTTTATCGACTCATTAATTTTCGTGAAAATCTCAAATTAGTCTAATAAATACATATATTTAATTTTCAACATATGTTATTGTTGTTATTGTTATTAAATTTTTAAAATAATTTTTTTATCAAGTACCCGTGTAGTATACGGGTATTGCACTAGTTGCAATGATTCACGAAAATTTATTCAAGCTCGAACTCTCACACATCCTAAAAAAATCTGCAAAATAAATAGCCTTGAAATATGGGCAACAAATTTTAACTCATCATAACTTGAGGGACCAAACACTAATATCACCATTTTTACCCCTCTGTGAAATTTCAGCAGCTCACACCAAACAGAGAGTAAATAGAAAAGCCTTTTTTCCCCAATATAGAAGAAGCTGCTCTTCCCCTTTCCTCGTCTTCCCACCACCACCCTCACCTTTCTCTCTCACACACTCACACACAAAAAGAGACAATCCCAACTCTCACTCCACCTCAAGGCCCCACAAATTCTCTCCTACCCTAACCCCTTAAACCCCGCAAACTTCCATAAATCTCTCTTGATTTTTTTCCCTTTTTCAGCAATGCCAGCTTCCTCATCAGGTACCCAAAAACCCTTAATATTATTGTATCTTTTTATTTTATTTTATTTTCCGTCTGTTCGCGCGCATATGTGTTTTATATGTGTTTGTGTGTTTAACGATTGTGTCTTTCTTTTGTTTGTTTGTTTGAATCGAAGTTCGAGATTCGGGACCATTTTTCAGTTCGTGGGCTAGTAAAAATGAAGGAGCTTGTTGTGAGATTCAGCTGAAAAATTCTTTAGTGCGAGTGACCCGTTTGTGAGATAAATTGGAAGTGTTTGAGTTTCTTTTTAGGAGAGTTTCGTGGGTTTGTAACTGGCGAGGCCTTTTATGAATTTGAAGCTTCAGCTTTTGTTTGCCTTTTCTCTCTTTGTCTTCTTGTCAGAAATCGTTTCCCTTTGCTAAATTCAGCTCAAAGTTGAGTTCTTTCGCGTTATAGATGACAGATGTAACGATGAATTGAATAAAGATTCTTGCGAATCAATTTGCTCTGAGTCGAGTCGGTGACGATTTAATTTCAAATGTTTAAAGAACCATAATCTGCGGAGACGTTTGAAAAATTAATTTGCTTAGAAATTTGAACTAGGATGGCTTGAATCATAATTTGATTCCTTTTGTGATTTTATTCCTTGATATTCTTTTCTTTTCGTGGTTGTTCAGAGGCAAGGGCAAGGTGGAGAAAGCGGAAAAGGGAGCAAAGGGCTGCACGTAAATCCAAGCTGAAAGAACTCGAGAATAATGATGACATGCTCGAGGAAAATGAGGATGAGGAAGACCCTGATCTGGACCCGCCACAGAACCTTCTAGAAACTGAAGATGTTTCTCACAGGGTAAATCAGATTTCTCGAGAGAAAGAGAGAGAAAATCTAGCTGATGGCGGACTGAGAATTTGTGAGTTCCCAATTGCGGTTAAGAGAGTGGTGAATCGAGCTCACTCGTCTGTCTTTCGAATTGTTGAGGCTGAGAGGGCTGCGAGGAATGGGGAAAACGGAGGCCAAGGACAGGCTGGCGTGCCCTTTTTGGAAAATATTTCCTATGGGCAGCTGCAGGCACTCTCTGCTGTGCCTCGTGATAGCCCTGCTTTTGTGGATGAGACTGAAAACGGGTCAGTTGTCATCTCGCCACCTAAGATAGTTGCGGGCAGTGGTGTTGCTAAACGGCTCGGGAGTGCGGGTCGTGTTCATATCGTGCCTGTACATTCAGGTTTTGCTTCTGCATTTTTTTTCTAGTGTTTTTCTGATTTATTGTGGTTGTTAATGTGATGCTTGGATATAAAATGTTTGAATTGTTTGGGGGTTTTGGTTTGGTATGATTAATTTTGAAAAAAAAAAAATGGTATGGCTAGTTGTTAGTGAGATTTTGAGTTTATATTAAAATAATATTTAAAATAAAATAATTAAAATTGAGTTGATGTAAAAGTAGGATAGAGATGATGTGAAGTGATGGTTAGTTAAAATTATGTGAGTTGATGAATAGTGAATTAAGGTTGATGTGGTGTGTAAGAATGATTGATTTTGATATTGTTTGATTATATTGATAATATTGATGATAGTGAGGTTGAGTTAAAGCTGAGTTAGATTTGAGTTAATTATAAGTGATTGGTTAAAAATGATTGGATTTTTTTGGAAAAATTTGTATCCAAGCATAATGTTTTTTTATTCCCTTATTGAAATGCCAGCGACTAATTGATGTATATAGCTTTGATGATACTCTTGAATGTGTGTTGTCTATAGAATTGCATGTTCACTTTAGTTCATGTATTCAAGGATAATGACTCAACTCAGTATAGGATGGCATTTTTGAAGTAGTAAATCTAAAAAGTGTAAGATATGAGTTCAAGGAAACTAAATTTTCCTTAACCCTTTCAAACTGTGTTCTCAATCTCATATTGTTGAAAACAAATTTGGGAAAGCCTAATTTTTGTGTGGAAACTACTGTACTTTTGATTGGTTTGCCTATTATTTACTGTTTAAAATCCATTTTTCTATATAGCGTTTGTTTCCGTTTGCAATATGTAAAAGTTACAGCTGAGTTTAGAATAAAGATTTTATTCTTTCACCAGTTGTTCTATATACATGTGCATAGCTTTTCTGTTATGTATTCCAACTGTTTACTTGCGCAGAATGGTTCTTGCCGAATTCCGTGCATAGACTGGAGAGACAAGTGGTCCCACATTTTTTCTCCGGAAATTCCATCGAGCACACACCAGAAAAATACGTGGAAAATCGCAATCTCATCGTTGCAAAATACATGGAAAACCCAGAAAAGCACTTAACTATTGCCGATTGCCACGGATTAGTTTCTGGTATAGATACCAACGATTTAGCCCGAATAGTGCGTTTTCTTGATCACTGGGGGATTATAAACTACTGTGCGGATCCTCTTAAGCACGAGACACATAAGGAAGGGACATATTTATGTGAGGATGCTAATGGAGAACTCTGCGTGCCCTCTACTGCTTTGAAATCTATAGACAGCTTAATCCAGTTTGAAAAGCCCAAGTGTAGGCTTAAGGCTTGCGAAGCTTATCCAGAACTTGCGTGCCAAAGTGAACCGGACCCTGATTTTGATATTACCATCCGAGAGAAATTGTCTGAACACGAATGTTGTTTTTGTGGCCGGCGTATTCCTATGATGTTCTATCAGTCTCAGAAAGAGGTAATATAGAATGGGTTTGTTTCGGAATTTCAGATTGCTTTCGAAAGCAGCCTTTTTTCATGTTTTGTGGCATATTTTTACTGGATTCGTGTCTTATGCATGATAGAGTTGAATTAATATTTGCTTTGTTATGCATGATAGAGTTGCCTGGGACTTATTAGCTTTATCCACATTATAATGTAAAAAATAATTAAAAAAAAAATTGAAATCATTCTTTTTGTGTGTAAGAGCATGCTAGAGTTGGATCCTAACATATCAATAGCTTGACTTAAATTTTTACCGAGTCAAATGGAGATAGATTGGCTAATGAAAACAAATGAACCACTCTTTAGAATTTTCATGACAAAAAATAGAGTAGTGATAAATTTTTTATTTTTTTTAATGCATGTTGATTGCAAATTTTAGAATAGCAAATTAAGGTGGTGGTATTTGTTGCTATCTTGTCTTTATTTTCTCCTGCATTTGTATCTCAATGTTCTAGAAATTGCATGAGTAATACTGTAATCCTTTGATTAAATAAATTTCAACTATAACCAAGTTGAATACTAATGGCAAATAGTCGAGTCTATAACTCACTGTTCTGAACTAATGCAGAAAGCTCCAAAATTCTTGGTAAAAGTCAACTACATTATGTCATGGCTGCCGAATGACTTAATATTTTCTGTTAATTTTATTTCGTGTCAAACCATTTTCTTTGATAGGTTGATGTTGTGCTGTGCCTGGATTGCTATGACGAGGGAAGATTTGTTGCGGGCCATTCGAGCCTCGACTTTTATAAAATTAACTCCATGAATGATTATGGAGATGCAGATGGGGATAATTGGAGTGACCAGGAGACTTTACTGCTGCTAGAAGGAATGCAATTGCACAACGAAAACTGGAATAAAATTGCAGAGCATGTGGGCTCAAAATCGAAAGCACAATGCATTGTGCATTTTGTCCAACTTCCTTTGGATGGTGCTTCCTTGGAGAATATTGATGTTGAAAATACATCCGAGTCCAAATTGTTGGGCCAAGATGATGGCCACGAGAGATTGGAATCGAATTCCAATGGTTGGTTTTATCTTTATTAGAGTTTTTATTTTTTATTTTTTTATTTTTTTATTTTTTTTTTTTAGAGAAAATTGCAATTTTAGTCTTGTATGTTATCAACCATAACTTTTTTTTGTGAGGTCAAATTGAGTTCGAATTGTTGTTTTGAATTTCGTCCTTATGTTTGCAATAGATTACGAAAAAAGGTCCTTTTTCGCAACAAAAAGGTCCCTTTCGAATTTGCAAAAAAGGTTGCAATTTCGCCCCCTGCCTGGTGACCTTTTTGTAACTTTTTTTGAAACATAAGGGACGAAAATCAAAACAGCAATTCGAAGGCGACGATAAAGTTAGGGTAGTGAAACATACATGACTAAAATTGCAATTTTCTCTCTTATTTTTTTTTTCCTTGTGTTTACGTATGATGAGTTATATGTTTGGATTTCGACTGTGATGCAGGGTTTGGCGAGCAAGCAGATGATTCTGAAAACAAATTTCCTTTTGCAAAATCCGAAAATCCAGTGATGAATCTGGTAGAATCTTGAATCTAGCATCATGCCTTCCACTTGTTTCTTAATAATGTCGTAACTTGTCATTAGCAGATTTGACTATGTGTGGTAAAACTAGCTGATAGATGATAATTGAATTCCGAGCTTATATTGATAGTTTATGATAGCTTATGGCTGAAAAACTAGCTTATATGATAAAAGTGTTTGGTAAACTTAGTTGATGATGATAATCCAGCTGAAATAAAGGGTTTTTTTAAAAAGTTATCCAAAGAAGCTTGTGAGATAAGCTCGAGCTTTTCCTACCAAACCAAGCTTATTTGTACACAAAAAGCTTATAAGCTAACCAAATAAGTTATAAGCTAGATTATGATATTTACCAAACACATTACAACTTACCTTTTCGCAAAAGAAGTTCACGCAAAAAGATCGTATTTCTAACCTGAAAATTTATCCTGAATTGTAGGTAGCATTTCTTGCTTCGACACTTGGGCCAAGAGTAGCTGCTGCATGTGCCCATACATCTTTAGCATCGTTATGCAAAGATGACAGTAAGGAAGGGAGTCCACATGGCGAGATTACGAATTCTAATAATAAAGGTACTTCGCTTATTTTTTTTATTTATTTATTTATTTTTTTTTTGATTTTGTCTATTTATGTACCGAGTAATGCCTTCAAAGGTTCTGGAAGCCAAAATGACGAGCAGGCTGTTAGTTTATCTGCTGAAAGAGTGAAGGCAGCTGCAAAAGATGGTCTTGCAGCTGCTGCTGTGAAGGCAAAGCTTTTTGCCGATCACGAAGAACGTGAAATCCAGAGGTTATCTGCTAATATCGTAAATCATCAGGTACTTTTTTTTTTCTTCTTCTTTTTTTTTTTTTTGGTAAATCTAAATTGAATTTCAACCAATTTGTTCTTCCTTGTGAGCCAAACAAGTACAGAAGAAATTGGTGAATAGTGGATATTCTGTGTTTGGGTTTAATATTCGGTTAAAATTACAGAAGGGTCCGCTTGAGGTTTGATCTAATTGAAGAACAAAAACCGCTAACATTCGAAATTACTGAAATTATCCCCTTCCATAAAAGTATTTACTCATAAGCCCCTTGATTTCAACACCAATTCAAATCATAATGACACTTTCGTAATCTGATAACTGGAACTGAAATTTCCAAAATTTTATGTTGTTTGGTTATTCTTTAGATTCTTAGCTTGAATTTTCTGATTGAAAATTTGCACTATATATTCGTAAAACTTTTGTCGCAACAAATCTTAAATCATGCAGGGGAAACATATTTGCATATCATACTGAACAATATCATGAATACTTCGTAATTTTCTTTCAAAAAAATATAAAGAATTCCGAATTCGGCAATTTCCGTAACATTTATGAAACATTTTCGTATAAAATACTTCAGTAAAATCAAAATCCTCAACCTTTACGTATATTTCCTCTTTCCAGCTGAAGAGGTTGGAGTTAAAACTAAAGCAATTTGCCGAAATCGAGACGCTGCTAATGAGAGAATGCGAACAAATGGAGAGAACAAGGCAGAGAATCGCTTCCGAGCGGGCCCTCATGTCCTCGGCCCAATTCATGCCTGGAGGAGCATCCTGGCCCATGGGCCCACCAAGCGCCAGCCCACTAACAACAGGAAACAGCAGCAGCCAGCAGCAAGTCCACCACATGCATACGAACATGCACCACCAACAGGGAATCTTTGGGCCCGGCCCAAGATTCCCCCTTTCGACCATGCAACCATCAGCATCAGCATCTAATTCAAATTTCAACTCTGCTTGAACTCACAGCCGGCCCGATGCTTAGGCCCGTGACCCGGACGAAATCCGGATTATAGGATGTCTTGATTATAAAGAGGGCTGTTTGGATTATTTGTTTGAAGGGAGAGCAATTTGGGTTTGGAAAATGTATTTGTGCTATACTGATTTTTGTTGCAAGGCATTGATAAAATTGGTGAATGAGAACAAGTGGTGTTTTAGTAGGGAAGAGTGTATTCTTGAGATGTACAGTCGAGCTGTTAAACAAAACGAGCCGCGCTTGTGAGCCATGCTCGGGTTGACTCGTTTAATTAACAAGTCAAGCTTCAAATTGAGATCGAGTTCGATAATAAGCGAAAAGATTATTTTTTATATAATTTTTTATAATTTGACTCCTTTACACTCATAATTAACTAGACACTTGTATTTGTGGAATTGAAAACTTGAAAATGGGAAGTTTAAATGACCTTAAATTTTTTTTTCATAAAACTGTTAACTATGAAAGTTTCAACATGCGAAGTTTAAGTCTATTGATCAGTTTCAAGTTTTAAAATACAAAGACTGACGTTTAAATAGGGCTGTTTTTCGAACCGAACGTTCGCGAACAAGGCTCGTTCGAGTTCGTTTGTATTCGATAACAACTCGTTTGTTTAGCATTCGAACCGAACACGAACATAAAATTACGCTCATTTAGTTATCGAACGAACACGAACATGTTCGCAAACTAATCGAGCGTTCGCGAACAAAAAAAATATTTATAATTTTATATATTATATATAGTATATACATGTATAATATAATATATAAATATGAATATGAACATGTCGAACAACTCGAACAGGAACTTGTCGAATAATTCGAACAATTCGAACAGTTCACGAACATTTTCGACTAGATAAACAAACGAACACGAACGTGTCGAACCAATAAACGAACGAACACGAACAAAATTTTTTGTTCGTTTACTAATCGAACGAACACGAACATGTTCGAAAATTAATCGAACTCGAGCTCGAACACCTTAAACTTGGTTCGGTTCGGTTCGATAACAACCCTACGTTTAAACCTCATTTAATTTTTTTTTTTTTTTCCCAAAACGAAGAATTTTCATAAAACAAAAGCAGAGTACATAGGATAATATTTACAACCCAAACAGATCCAACACATAGCACCAAACAGACTCAAAAGCACGAGGCACAAACCTACACAGATAGCTAATACAAAGAGATGGAGAACCATTCTAGATGGCCTAGGAGGGGATGAAGGGACAGAACAGTTTGTCTATTGGGCAGTATATAATACTGAGGCCCTGAGACTACCATTCGTCAAAACAATCCAACCTAGCCACTGCCGAAGCCTAGCTAGGGAAAAATAAAAGCAAAACAAAGCAGAAAACCAGACAAGAACACCAATCACCTAGATCACCGAGGAAAATTCTCTCCATTCAGAACAGGCACCTTCCACCACCATTCTCTCTGTCTGCTTTTGATTTTTAAAGATCCAGAGGTTTCTTGATTTCCATAACCACCATAGAATGTAGGTGGTTAATTGAATTCTGTCCTCTGCTTCTTTGTCTTTATGCATTAGGCAAACTTCCTTCCACCAACTTTTGAAGCAAGGGACCTCATTTTGCAGTGCAGCCCATTTCACAGGTGCCATCTTCCAAACCATTTGGGCTCTTGTGCAATTGAAGAGGATGTGTTCAGTAGTCTCTATATCTTCTCCACATGCTTTGCAGATGCAGTCCATCTTCATGCCTCTCTTGAATAAAAACCTCATTTAATTCAATACAGCATTTTTGATTCAATATTTTTAACCGCGAGAAGTGTCAGGATTCATGACTATAAATTTTAAAGAACCCATATTAAAAGAATATTTAAATTTTCATTCAACTAATTTTAATTGCGAGTTGTTACTTGTGTACAGGATTTCAAAAGTTAACAAATTTCATTTAACTGTACTTGATACTACAAGTTTCATAGGTAGAATAGTTCAATCTTATGAATTAATGGGTTTGTTTGGTAGTATTTAGTTGTTAGGATAAATGCCTGATTGTATTAGAAATTTAGAATATAGCAAATTGTACTAATTTGTTTGACTAGCAAATTCCATCAGATAAGCATTTGGTAAATAGCAGAAATATAAAGTACTTATGTTATATTATCTCTTTTTGAATTATCTTTCCAAATAAAATTATTCTTTTTAGCCTTTTCAAAATGAACGTTTTGAGTCTAAAAAACTAATCAGCACGTTCGTTGCCTAACCAAGATAATTAGTGGATTTGATTGGTCAAACATTTAAATGTGACTTAATTCTCTAATTTTGCACCAATCTGCTATACTTTTTCAAATTGGTTTACCATCCTATTTACCAAATCTTGTGTTGCGAAAATTTGGACCAATAATTTTGATAATATCATTGTGAAAAAAATAATAGATTTTTGTCATATTTTCAAAAACTTGTTTTGTAAATCAATGTAGTGTGACTCTCGTTATTATATAATGCTCGAGTTTTTTTTCAATCACATGTGACTTCAACAAAAATAAGAACCCGTGTTGTATAAACATTAATAATGATATTGAAAGAAATGCCCAAACACTCGCTTGATTAAATTCAAAATTTTATTTTTACACTATAATATAATCAATCAATCACTTACATATGCTAATAAAATTTCATATTGTCCTTTTCATGCAATAGCAATTTCAGATTTTTGTCACATTATTGTATTATTTTTAGTCCTCGTTTGGAGCAAGTGAAAAAAATATGTTTCCCCTATGCAACACATTATTCCTACACACAAAATACGCTTCAAAATTCGAATTCAAAAATTTGCACGTCTCTCGCTAAACTCACCTTACCGTCACCATTATCAGCCAATAACGTTCCTCCAATCCAATCCCCCATTGGTCCGTGACGAAATTATTCGTCACCGCAAAACAATCTCAATTCGAAACAGACAAGCTTTCGTGGGGCCCACCTCTGTACGCTCCTAACGTATACCCGAATCCAATCGGACGGTCAGGATCGCATCTCAATTCAAAAATTCGCCACCTCCTCCCTTTTGCCCGCTCTCAATAGCAAGCCATTAAAACCCCCAACAGAAAACGGATAAAAATCTCTGTGTATAGAGATAATTCTTCAGTTAAAGAGACGATTTTGAGTTTCGATTTTGTAATAATGGCGAGCACGGCAGGGGCGAGGAGGTCGACGACGTCGTCCCTGGCGAAGAGGCACGCCTCTGTTTCGGAGAATTTCGGGAAAACGGCGGCGGCGGCGGCGACCGCCGCGAAGAAGCGGCCGGCGCTTGCCAACATCACCAATCAGAGGCATGGGGGTGTTTCTCAGGGTTCGGGCCGGGCAAATGTTCCGGAGTCGTCGAAAATTGTACGTTTGTGACTCGTATCAGCGGTTTTTTTCCCCTGTTTTGATTTTCGTGGTCTGTGGGGATATGGCATGAGTTTTGGAAGATTCTTGGCTCGTATGTGGGTTTAGGTTTATCATTCATCGTGTTTGATGCATTTCTTGGTGAAGATTAATCAGTTTTTTACAGGGTTTTGATTTTAATTTAGTTGAATTTCAACTGCAATCTTTTACGTATGCTGTTTTGGAAATGTCAAATGTGTTCTGATGCTTCTACAGAGTCTTTACTTTATCTTTGTGATTTATCGTGTTTGATGCATTGGAAATGTGTGCATTTGAATTTAGGTCAAAATGAACTGCATTTTACGTATTCTTTTGCAGTGGAAATGTGTGCATTTGAATTTGATATAAAGTGTTCTGATTCTTCTACAGTTTCCTCACTTTATCTTGTGAAAAGCATTTCAAGTTGGTCACTTTTGAAAAATTCTCTCCATCTCTGTTTACCTAAACAATACTGTAGTTAGATTTTTCTGGAATTGCTACTGAAAGTAAATTGTATTTCTTAATCATACTTCACAGGGGTGCCGATTATCTTGATTGTAATGTACTTAAAATGGACACAAAACTTGATGGATTACTTTATTCAAGATTCAGGTTTTTCCTAGCATGTATGGTTTCATATACTGTGCTTTATATGCATATCTGCTTTTACTTAAATATGATTTGCTTGTTGTAGTTACTACTCTTCATCTCTAACAAAACACTGTAATCATGTTAACAGGAAATGAGATTTGATGTGTGCAGTATAAATAAGACTTAAGGCAATCATTTTCGGTTTTAGGCATTTTTAGGCAATGGAAAGTGCTTTGTTCATATGACAAGAAAAAAATATTTTATGATTGGTTCCAATAAAAATTGAATTCTTCAGGTGCTCTGTTCAACAAAAATCGCGAGCAATAAGAAGGGGCCTTCGGCATCAAAAAACGCCGTTAATCTGCCACAAACTTCAACTGTAAAGCAAAATGTGGCTGCCGCAGTTCGAGCTGCTACATCTTTACCAAAGAGTGATGTTATGCTCTCTAAGCCTAATGTGGCTTCCATTTCATGCAGTGTGGAACTTTCTCTAGATAAATCCGATTCACTCTCCATATCTATGGATAATGACTCTATGTCCACCTGTGATTCCCTTAATAGCCCTGATATCGAATACATGGATAGCAATGATCTAGCAGCAGTTGATTCAATCGAGCGGAAAGCTTCCAATTCACTTTGCATTTCGAAAAACGAGCAAATTTCAGGTTTTGTACTTTTTCACAATCCTTCTATATACTTTTGTTTGAATGCAAGCTGATTTGTTTAACGATGTGTTGTAGGGAGTATGTGCAAGCGTGATGTTCTTGCAGCAATAGAATCGGATGAGAAGATTATAGACGTTGATGAGAATCTTGATGACCCGCAGTTATGTGCGACTATTGCGTGTGATATCTACAAGCACTTGAGAGCTTCCGAGGTTCGAATTTTTTATCTTTTTGATTACTTATGAAGTGTTGTAGCCTTTTTTATTTGTTAACTAACTGTAACTATATTTATGTAATTTTCAGTGATTATAATGTATCGATTTTTTGTCTGCAGGTAAAGAAAAGGCCAGCTACTAACTTCATGGAAAAGGTGCAAAAGGACATTAATGCTAGCATGCGAGCAATTCTCGTCGATTGGCTTGTTGAGGTAAATTTTGTTTCGCAAAG